AATAAATTAAATATTTTAATTAACAATTTCAAAATTTTTTTAAATGAATGCATTATTAATAATACTTCTTATCCCCATTATTTGTTTTTGATATTCTCATAATATCTTCCAATTCTTTCTGGTCTATTCCTTATATCTTTATCTTGAATTATGGTGAGAACCATTTCAAGTAATGTTTTGGAAAATATATAGAGAGCTAAATAGTAGGGAATTAAATATGGATTGTAATCTGGAAAAAATATAAATTTATTTATTTGTGAGAAATAATAACGAAGTAAAAGTAAAAGATAATAAATTAATTATTATTATTATTATTATTTACATTTTGATAATCCTTTGTCAAATCCTTCACCGTCGATTTTCGATTTTTCCGCAGTTCTATTAAAAACAATCAAAAATTAAAAATGAACGTTATAGAAATATATATCATTAAATACTTTTAAATATTTTTTAATTACTACTCTTAGTAATAATGAATACATACCCATGAGTTAATGAGATAAAAATCAAGACCGAACATATTAAACAATAAGTTGCTAATGAAATTCGATGTATTTGACTACGTGTCCATGATGCTAATTTTACATATTTATTGGGTATACTTAAAATATCCACTCTCCGTTTCGACGAATAAAAAAAACATACTAAGAAAACGGGGGAATGCCAAAATGCCGTAAATGAAGCATGAAAACCTTTTCTACGTAATTCGATATATAATGCTAATGCCACGATTGAGGTGAATATAAAGTATGCAACAGCTCCAGCGATAAGACCCCAAAATAATCGAGACGCGGCACAAAAATCAAATTGTGGAATTATGAAACGATCCCCACACGCATCAAAGAGAACGTTACGATATGTGGAAGTGGAAACTCCCGCTTTGGCATTTTTTAGTACGTTAAAACCCAGTAAAAATACGTTTACCAAAAACATCTGTTATTATTATTTATTAGTTTTTTTTTTTTTAAAAAAAAAAAAATAAAATAAAATATTTTTATTTATTTCTTTTATTTAT